GGTGAAGGTTAAATAATCGCGTTATTCAATTGGATTCCCAGGAGGGGCCAATCATGTTATACTTTACAAAGGTTAAGGTAATCTGGAGTGATACTAAACTATAAAAAAAAACTAAACACCAAATTAGATAAATATAATATAAGCTTCTTACTAGTTATGTTGCCCTGGTACCATTCTTGCAAATTTTTATAAATTTTAAGTAGATTTTTGTAAAACATTGATTAGGCCTTTTAACTATTTAACTGACTAACGAGTGTTTTGCACATAGATGAGGAAAATCCGAGAAATATAGATACATATCCTGTCTTAGATTCCTCTCAAATGTTCACATCTATAACTTTAATACAACATCAGTAATATTTCTAAAAACTTTAAATCTACCGAGAAGAGAACGGAACATCTAGTATTAACGCGCCAGTTAGCTTCAAGAATTCTTTCTTCTTTCTTCCGAGAATTTCAATTCAATTCCAATAACCTCAAACAATAGCAAAGTGCAAAATCAGACCGCTTTCAAAGAGGGTGGGAAACATAAGTAAACAATCGGGTGGTGTTTGTTATAATCGATAGTTCAGTAGGCATGGCAGTGAGTTCGATGACTTATCGCTACTGTGGAGCCCTCGGTGAATGGCCTTCGTCATCTGTAATGAGGTCTGTGACGCCCATGGATAGGGTTACCGGATGAAACATTAAAAAATCCGGGAAAAGCCTAATTGCCTAGAAAAATCTTGAAACCTTTGTCTAACCGTAAAACTCACCTAAAATTGAGTCTGCAAAATATATACATTAGATAAAAATTAAAGATTCCTATATAAAAATAAATAAATATAGATTTTTTATCTAATGTTTCCTTTGTATCTTTTTAATAAAAAGCTTTAATAAATCTAAACTATTCTCTTGAAAACAAGAAAAACGAGATTGCCGAAATCCGGCCGCTATCATTAACGATCTAGAGATCCTGAGATCACAGGACCAATCTTGAGATATCGGTAACCCTACCCTTAGACTGATTCAATTACTTTGTATGATACGACATCAAAAGTGCAGAGTGCGTTCAATTGAAAAGGGCAAAAAACTATAACGACAATGATAAAACAACATACTGCGAAGGGTTACATCATAGTGAAAACTCTTTAAAGTGAAAATTTATAAATTTGCGGGTCATGGTAGTCATATTACCATGTGGTAATACTTTTAGAATAATTGCCTTGTTTCTTTTTGCTAAAACAAGCATTAAATTAATAGTAATATTTGACTTTTCATCTCAATAAAGATGCTTATAACCTTCATTAAAACGTTTACATATATTCTGGTAAACCTTGAAAAGTTTCTTATGTCAAGACTATTTTTTAAATATGTAATTTTAAACCAGAAGTGTTCTTATTTAAATAATACACTGCGTTTATTTCCAATATTACCTTCACACGATTATAACGTTCCTCTGATCATTACCCGTAATAAAAAATAAATATCCTTTATTTAAGAAAGCTTATGCACCTCTGAGTAAAATAAAAAGTTTGGATAAAATTGCGAATTCTTAATATACAAGATGGTCAAACTCATGGCCTGAAAAGCCTCGTTCAAACTCGAAAGAAATTTCTTCAAATTGTTAACCTCCTTTGTAGTTAAGTTACCAAGTACAGCTCACTGCGGGTTGGTGGGTGTTAACGTCTGCAGATGAAGCCCTGACTAATGGCATAACGTGTCTTCCGAAGCGCGAAGCAGCTTGAGATAATATTTTTTGTCACATACGTACCGAAATAAGTGACGGAGGAATATTGTTTTATATAATTCTTCTTATTTTATTGCCGTTTTCATATATGGTTAACAATCTCCGAAAGCAATTAAAAAAATATCGTTGCCGACCGATATATGTCAACCTTTTTGAGAAGTTACTTATGCAGTTTTTTTATATATTTCTCGAATTCGTTTTCCTGTTCTCATCGGCATTGGTTATTTTTATTAAATACTTGCGTTGACTACAAGGATTTTATATTTTAATGGACATTTAGCGAACCGCGTTATTTAGAGATCCACTTTACTTTGTGAAGTCAACAGCAAAAATAGATAAGACTAAAGATACATAAACATTCTTATCTATATACGCACAGACAGGCGTGCAATTTAAAATAGTTTAACACAGTTCAAGATGTCGTTGACCAAAAATGCGATCATTTCCGTAACGGCAAAGCCAAAACGTCAAACTAGTGATAGCACAAATTCCTGAATAGTTGTTACCCGCGGCTTCGTTTGGTCATAGAGAAATAGCTAGGAGCTCCTTAGAGGTAAAAAGTAACCTATGTTATTCTTCAGCTTTTAAACTATCTACATGCAAGAAATTTCATTGTAACGTTGCAATAAGAATAAATAAGCAGTCTCTTCAAATAATAGGTAATATTAGTATGGATAGGACATCCGCCTGTTTCAGGATTTTGCCACCTCTGAGGTCCCGGCCCGATTCCTAGGTCAATATGAAAAATGAACTCTTCTGTATTGTCTCGGGTCTGGATGTTGTCGTTTCATATTTACATAATATCTACAAGCGCTACTTAATAGGAATGAGGCCTGGATAAAACTGGTTACTTTATCAAGAAATATAACAGTTCGTTACGTCACAGTTTCTTTTTATATTCAAAAGTGTGACGTCATTCGACATTTCAACTCAATGTTGCGCTGTAATTTAATGATTGCACAAAAAATAAAAAAATACGCGTTTAATATTCAACAACAATCTATATGACGAAAAAAAAAGAGATTTGACGTCATAATGTAATGTTCTTTTTAAAAAGAGTTTTAAAGATGGATTTAGATTCCATTTTCAAAAATTTTAAATATGATAATATCATAAATATATTTTTGTTATTTTTTACGGTTATTATACGGTTTATTACCACGTCATATAATTTATGGCAAAGAAGCTGTTAGATTATTATCAATACGTTTGGCACACATTGACCGTATAAAATTAAAGTCTGCAATAGATTTAACGTGAAAGAAAATTAAAATAGAGTTCACCCATGACTTTGTTATGGGTAAATTTAGTTAGAGAAAATTAATTATTCACGGTTAATGCCGATTACTCACTACACGTGCCGATTCTGATGAAACGATTTTACTTTTAGAAATGTTTGAATTTAATATAAATGAAAAGGAGATTCATTTCAGAAAAAAAATACAATTACTTATTATTTTTTAATTAAATCGTCCAGTTTTAAATTTGTAATTGAAATTTATTCAGATTACAATTGTTGTTTGTATAGATCACAAATTATCATATTTAGTCATAGACTATAGTGATATCTATAGTTGAAAGAGGTAATTATTTGAAAATATTATCAAATAAGCAAAAATATGAATGTAGTAAATCTATTCTTAATGAAAAATGCTTAAAAAATCTACTTTGTCCTCTCTGAGATGGGAGTCGAACCCATGACCTTTCGCAACTGCTCTGATCACAGAGCTACCCAGGACCCAACAGGACTGTGACTTTCAAGCACTTTCAAGATACTTTTTCGCTAGTACAGAGCGTATTTTCATCAATGTTCAGGCATCCACCCAAACAGCCGATAGAAATACTTTTACAAATATTTAAACTTTCGATAAAGATGAAAGATTCGACTATTATCTATACTTATAATAAATCTGTAGAGAAACCAATTCTGTACATGAAATATATTTCCAAAATAACTATCAGGGGGTGATTAGGGATCGATACTGATGCCAAAAATGCAATCAGTAAAATTTTTGTCTGTCTGTCTGTATAACCGTTATAGAAACAAAAACTACTCGACGGATTTTAACGAAACTTGGTACAATTATTTTTCATACTCCTGAAGTTGGTTATAGACAAATACAATCAGAAAGCTGGGATAGCAGAGCAATGAAGGGAAATGTTGGGAAAACGGGAGAAGTTACTCCATTTTTTAAGCTTCCGTCGCGTGTGCAACCTTAATGGTTAAAGCTACCCAGAAATCACGTATGACGGAAATGTTCTCCTTAAAATTATATAAAAAATATCCCACGACAGCATATGTCTATCTTTTATGGTTGACTCACAATAACACGTGTAACTCCCGATAGCTTAGCAGTTCGAATCTTTCTGATTGTATTTGTCTATTGTCTACTCTTACGTTTATAACACTCTCAGTCATCCCTAATTAAAAAAGTTAAATCACGCCGAAACTACTGAACGGATTTTGATGAAATTTGGTATACACATAGGGTACTAAGATGATAGGATACTTTTTATCCCACTTAGCCGTTGGCGAAAGCTAGTATTTGATAATTCTCTATCAATTTTGCATTCACAACGCTATAATATAGATCAAATATAATAATGAAGTAAAAACTGTTAATATAATATATAGAGTACTCTATAATTAAATTCTTAATTCTTTTAATTTCTCGTCTATTGGTTTATAATATCTACTTATAGTCCAGTCAAATTAACATTTGAGTTAGGAAAAATTCGCATAGAGCTAAAAATTGGTAAAGACTGAATTGAATAAGTCATTACCAATGAAAAGTCCCCATCGATCCTATGTGTGCAAAAATTTTTATTGAAGGTCAAAGGTCGCAAATTCCGGTTTTTCCCATTTTTCTCTGAAACCGGAAGTATTATCGTAAAAATAGGTTAGACAAAAGTTGTAGATCATACAATTCTCTACAACAATTGTCTCAATATTTTTTTCGAACGAATCACCACTCGCGAGATATCGCGATTTTAAAAGTTAAAAAACTTATATCCTTCATAATATGCACACATTTACGCACCACCTAAGAGGTTATGTACTTGACGCATTTTTTAGCGTGGTTTCCCCAGTAGGCAAACTCCACGATGTAGTATGATGAAAAAATTTTGATTATTATATATACAGATGGTATCCTATTGTTTAACAGAATGGCACTATTGTTAATGTTTAAAGTGGTACAGGATGATTTCTTGTTATTTATTTTTTATAAATGTTATTATATTAGATAATTCTCTAATTCTACTTCAACAATTATTTGTTAATTATCATTTTATTCTTCTTCAACTTCATTTTCTTCTTCTTCTTGCTGAGTTTCAATACATTGTTCTTAGAAAAGAAATGGATCAGTTGACTCTTCTGTATATATATATATATATATGTTTTCATGGTAAAATAAAGAGTTTCTTAAGAAGGTTATGTGTGAAACCACGCTGGGTCAGTAGTTTTACTAAGAAAAATAGAAAAATCTTGTCAAATTACTCCTGATAAAATCCACATCATACTTTGCCTACACGTTATTACCAAGTATTCTATAAAACCATAAACTTCCGAAGAATATCACGTTATAAAGATTACAGCTAACCAAAACCGTTTGTTATTATACTAATCGTGAAGACCATGTTTATAGCACATAAACAACCAGTCACGAATTTATCGTATCCGATCGCATCATATCTATTATTGGAATAAAATTATAACAGATCCTTTTTGTTTTTGAAAACATGTTTCATCTGTTATAACCAGCAGTCGTATCATGACAAACTCAAGAAACACTTTATCTACACCAAATGTCACTTTTCTCCAGTCAAGAGTGTGATATTCTAAGAGTGCAGCCGATAATGTATTTATTTGGGTGTATATAAAACGTTCTCGAATTTATCACGCTACGCAAATAAGGAAAAAACCACCTGATAAAAAATACTAAGAAAATGTCAATCATGTACAATGCAAATTGGAAGGATATGAGGCCAGAGGAGGGCAAGACACACCCCACCCAAGACACACGATCTGTACTGCGGATGGTGACTTCAGAACACATAAATAAATATAAGTATATTAACGTTATGGATGGCAAGGAAAATATAGTCGCACTTACCTATGAGAAAGACTATAAATTTTGACATCTAGTCCTCTGGTGCTTTGTCTACAAGGCAAAGAATCTGATGTAAAAATATAGGTGGAATCTTTACATCTATATCTTTACATCAGATTCTCTGCAGTTTCACAAAATCCTATTAATATTATAAATGTGAAAGTTTCTTTGTTTGGATGTTTAGATGTTTGGATGTTTGTCGGTCAATCACGCCGAAACTACTGAACAGATTTTGATGAAATTGGTATACAGATAGGGTATTAGCTGACTTAGATAATAGGATGCTATTTTTCCCACTAAACATTTCCCTAGGGTCCACGCGGGCGAAGCCGCAGGCGAAAGCTAGTATAAAATATAGGATTACAACAAGACAAGAGCCTAACTTTTATATATTTATTGAATCTGAATTCTATCAATTATGACTATGGTTTACATATTATCTAGTCAAAAGAAACTAAACCAATTAAAAATTGTTTTACAATTTATAAAAAGAAATAAAACAACAATGATTCCATTGAAAACTTGATGAAATATAAAATATAATAACAAGATTTTTTTTCGAAATTTTAAATATTTGTAAAGATATTTTATCGGCTGTTTGGGTGGATGCCTGAACACCAGTGGTCGGAATTAGGTAGAGTTATTCATGTACTTACACTGATTTCATACAGCGAAAGAATAAAGTGGATATGCCTCAAATCCCGAGATTAATTTTAAAGAGCAGAAAAAATCCCTTGATTTTTTTAATAAAAAGTTATTTCCGCTTACACAATTTAAACTACTGCACGCACGACGTTGCCAAACTTACATCAATGACATCGGATGTCAAAAGATGTCCAAGATTGTCCAATAGAAATCCCGGGAAGGTCCACATTAATATCAACATTTCGATGCAAGTACATAAATAACTCTACCTAATTCCGACCTCAGCTGACCACTGATGAAAATACGCTCTGTAGTAGCGAAAAGTAACAAGCGCTTGAGAGATTCGTCATTCCTGTTAGGTTAGAGGTAGCTCAGTGATTAGAGCAGTCGCCCGGAATGTGAAAGGTGATGGGGTTCGAGTTCCATCTCAGAGTGCATCTCAGAGGGACAAAGTGGATTAAGCATTTATCATTACGAATATTTTTCAATAGCATGCATAATTGGTATCAAATATAATTATCAAATATAATAGTCGAATCTTTCATCTTTATCGGTAAAAATATTTCTATCGGCTGTTTGGGTGGATACCTGAACATTGATGAAAATACGCTCTGTAGTAGCGAAAAAGTATCTTGAAAGTGCTTGAAAGTCACAGTCCTGTTGGGTCCTGGGTAGCTCTGTGATCAGAGCAGTTGCGAAAGGTCATGGGTTCGAGTCCCATCTCGGAGAGGACAAAGTAGATTTTTTAAGCATTTTTCATTAAGAATAAAGTCAAAGTCAAAGTCAAAATAATCTTTATTCAAATAGACTTCTTAAAAGTACTTTAGAATCGTCCAACATTTTTTCCCTACCACTCGTTCAGGACGTCTTTTGGCTGATAAGAAGAACGAGCAAGAAACTCACCAGCTCTAATATGAGTAATGACATTCACAAAAACCATGTCATTACCAGATCAATACATTATAAACAGAGATAAAAAAAAACTATGGTCTTATAATAATAACATAAATGCATAATTGATAAAATATAATAACTATAGTACATTGATAATCGATTGGTAATCGGTAAGATATTAATTTATGAAACAATAAACCTTAACTTAACCCAATGAGTATTTCAAGAATTTTCCCACGCTTAGCATTTTGAGGAAAACGATCTCGGTCAACAAAACCTTGTACTTGTTAATGCCACTGTTAAATTAACAAATATGTATTTAATCCATACCTATTGACCTTATATAGGTATTATGTTGTTTCCTTACAATCTCAATGCGTATTAAATTATTTTTTTTCCTCGAAACAAACTTTGATCCCGAATTATTAGAAACTCGATTTGCGTCAGCACTCCAATAATTATCGTAAACTTCATTGTTTTGTCCTTGAGAATATTAGGGTAGAATACATTACGTTATAGTTAAGTAACTATATATTGAGCCGATTTAAGAATACTCCCCCGCAATTATAAATGAAATTAAGACTCAAAGAATGGGATTATTATAGTGTTACTCGTATTATCCAAATTGACTAAGTCGCAAACGTGTTTTTACAGTACCAATCAATATAAAATTTATGTTTACAGTAAGTAGGTACATTTTTTGCTCCATAGCAACTAAGTTATTCTCGTTTCTCGAATGCGGTTAGTAAAGTCTTTTAAGGTGTTTCGTGATGAATTAATTCTAGCTGTCAGTAAATGACGTAAGCTTTTTGATTTTGCTTTAATACTAGTTATTAATGAGCATTTATATTTGTTTTCTACTAATATTTTATAATGTTAGTTGTAAATACGAAAGTAACTAGTTGTCAGTTTGTAATACTTTTACAGTTAAATTCCGATTTAGATTATATTTGGTTTGGAGATAGCAGTCATAAGATGATGTAATGCTGGGAAAGGCATAGAAATTATCCCGAAAAAAAAGGAGATTTATCAAAGATCCGACAAAAATTGGGTAATAGAAATATTAATACTACATTCCATTATAATTGAATGATTATGTTATCAGTATAAGATCATAGTTTATTTTTTCTCTCTCTATTATAATGTATTGATCTGGTAATGACATGGTTTTTGTGAATGTCATTACTCCAATTAGAGCTGGTGAGTTTCTTGCTCGTTCTTCTTATCAGCCAAAAGACGTCCTGAACGAGTGGTAGGGAAAAAAATGTTGGACGATTCAAAAGTACTTTTAAGAAGTCTATTTGAATAAAAATTATTTTGACTTTGACTTGACATGACACAGGCGAATTCTAAAGCTATATGTATTGTTTTTATCAGCAATTCAAACAATATTATATAGAGTCAAAAAATAATTTATTTGTCATTTTATTTTATTAATTTTATCGATTTAAGCACTGAACTAAAGCTGTCAATTATTTTAGTTTTCAAAACATTTTTAGAGGTTGCACATATTTCAATTAACGAATCTATACCGTAACATTCTACTTTAAATTGAAACCATGTCATATATAATACATTTCTTTAGAATATATTATGGAATAATAATTCTGCGTCAAATACAAACTTACGAAATATGGTTTTATTTAAACATTTTAATGGTATTCAAAACTGTTTCAATATATTTGTTCAAATATTAGCTGTCTTTTACATTATGTCAATGAAACAAGAATCTTGACCCATTAACAACACTTACAATATCTTACTGTGATTTGATGAAACCAGTTCTACATATTATGTCAGTCTAGATTCTCAATGTTATTAATTAATTTGGAAGGTCTTACATATATTTTTTGATAAAAATGCATTAATAAATTTAAACCAAGGGCCGAATTACATACCAAATTAAATCTCTCATTAGATAAAACAACGAGAGGCAAAGTAATGTTATTTGCTCGTATATCTACATCAGAAATTTAAAATTTTGAGCTATACTCTTACTCGTATTAATTAATTGAGTAATTTTAGTGACTTTCATTCCGGTGGCGCAAAATTAGAAAAAAAAAAACTGCACAAATACTATGTTTTAGAAAGTGCCTGACAATAAGATTCACGGCATCTTAATCTATAATCTAGTAGGTACATTTGATTTAAGTGAACTGTGAAAAATAAATTCGTCACATATATGCTACAAGAGGTGCGTATATCAGATTTATATGAACTTTTTCTTTCTGTAATCTTCATTAATGAAAGTTTTTATTTTCATAGGACATGAGAAGAAACCAGGGGTGCGACCGCCTAACTCATGGACGTACCGGAGACGTAGCTATAACCTACGCTTTATCGATATTTCTTATGAATCTGTTTATATTCTTTTAATTTTTTTATTTTTATTTATACATTATATCAAACATTTTGGTTTGTTTTCTTTTCGAAATAGCATTGTTTGTATCAATTCGACATTTTGTAAATTTCGTTTAACTTTAATAATTGAGCAAACAAAAACAACTAAAAGCATTGATTAAATATGTAAATAATAAAAAATGATTAATTTTAAAACAATCTCAACAGATTCATGTGTAAAACCTATAAAGCGTAGGTTATAGTTACGACTATGGCGGTTTTCAAACTTAATTCAACTCCCCGCACAAACTTTTGGAATATGCTTCGAAATTATTACGTATCATAACTGAACTAAAGTTTAGATTTGCTATTTTTTGTAGTTTTACACCTAACCAAGCAATAGACGCAAAAAATCACAGCAACCGTTGAATGTGTGAAGGTCATTCAGAACGTTGGTCATCTTTGGCCAATGCTATCGATAATTTTATTTTATTACTATTATTGTCCGCCATTTTGTCGTTATTGCTGCCATGGCCGAGTGTGACGATCCAATTTATTACTATGATCTTTGATTGGCAAGTGTCAATAGCGAGAGATGGCATTATGGAACTTAGAGATCTAGTTAATTCTTGGTAGAATTGTTCTCAATTATATACAGAAATTAAGGCCGTCTTCGACATTTTTCTTTGACATTTCACACAAAATATTGTAGCGTACTTAACCTAAAAGAACTATCCATACAAACAGTTGACTATACCATGAAAGAACAAAGTTAGTGTATCATGTGCCCTAAATTTCAAAATATTTAAAACATAATTAACGAATGAAACCATGTCTTATTTCTCATATTCGTGAAATATAACACTATGATTCAGAGAACATAACTTTATGCCATAGACTTTTAAAATTCTTTGCCATAAGCGGATGTGTTCCGCTTTTGACATTATTTACTTAAGAAGAAGAAGAGAACGTTTAAATATCCCGACTCTGTTTTCGTATTACTACATAGTATAAAACAAAGTCGCTTTATCTGTTCCTATATCTCTACGTATGCTTAAATCTTTAAAACTACGCAACGGATTTTGATGCGGATTTTTTTTCATAGATAGGATGATTCAAAACGAAGGTTTTTATGTATAATACAAGACCACGTGGGCGAAGCCGCTGGCGGAAAGCTAATAGGTAGAAATATTCGTGAGGACTTCTTCAATTTTCGTTATTTTACAAGAAAAATCAGTTATGAAATTATATATGTATATGTTACTATTTGTAATGAAAAATAAGCATTTTTCATAAAAAATATTAATTAGTATACATTGTGAATGCAAATTTAATCAAATATATTCATATATATTTCAGATTGTTTAATAATATTCTTTACACTTCTTATTCTATAGACATATCGATGTTCGAGTACTACCTACGTTTCGTGAAAGATTATAATATTTTTAGGCACATTGCGAAAAACAGGTGTTCACAGCGATGATGCAAGTAGAGTCAACAACAGTCTACATAGTTTCTCCAATTCATTTTAAACCTTATAGCACCAAAAGTAAAATACAAAATTTATTGTGGAAATTTGACATTACGTGATAGAGACGTGTGTGTTACTAAGTGAATATAATAAAAAAAATAGCCTGATCAACTTTATTTTATCAATAAATTAACCATTGAAAATTTAAGAATTTAAACGGATTTACAGCTATTTACACAAACGTCCATTAAAATTGTCATTAGTTTAAAGTGTCATTACCGATACAAATTTGACATTCATAAGAACTTAAAGGCGTCATTAAACCAAATGCAGGCTTATGCAACTAACCGTTAAATGGCTAGTTTTTGCTATAAATATTCTTCTCGAAAAACAGATGTTATGTAAAAGTTGGAGTATTTGGTGTCAATTAGCTTCTACCTACTTTAAAAGCTAATAAAGATTTATTTGATTGTACCTCCCGTGGACACCGCTGTGTTCGACGCTATATTTAATTAGAATAACATTTTATTATATTATTTAGATTACTATTAATTAGATCTCCATAACCGCGTGGTTCGCGCGTCGGTTTCAAGATGTAGCCAGGTCTTAGGTCCGGTTCCCGATCAATGTAAAAAGGACTTTTCTATATTGTCACGAGTCTGAGTGTTGTGGTACTTTCACTGTCTCGTTATTTTAATGACGATGTGTAATATAAACAACTTTAAAAATAATGACTATTTTTTAAATAAAATTATAATGTTATGTATCCTTTTACATTAATAAAAAATATATATTTGTTAGGTTTGTGAAAAAAAATGTCTCTTCCTATCTCCAATAGGGTTAAAGTTTGAAGCAATGTTGATTGGATTATGTTCTTTATAATCTTACCTTAACATCTATGAGTCTGACGGTGAAGGCGGCCCCATCAGGAGCCGTTAGCTTCAGTTGACAGGGTGCGTTGGTAGTAACAAAAGGGGGCCGTAACATTGCCAGTGCTAAGGCGGACCCTACGCCCCCGTTGGTGCCCAATTCTAACTCTTTGGTACGGCCGCATAGCAGGCTGGAACATAGCCCTGATGGAAGAAAAGAGTAATTTGAAAAATAAGTTACTTAGATTGCTGTATATACGTATGTCTGTTCGATGGCCACCAAGCAGTATTTCACGAATCTATTGTATTTCTGTTGTCGCTATAACAACAAATACTAAAAACAATATAAAATATATATTTTAACGAGGCTCCAATACAACACACGTGACTTTTGAATTTTTTATAAATAACGAACCTTTTGAGCACAGGTCCAACTCTACCTTTATTATAATGCATGAATTAAGTTGAAGATTATTAAACATAATACCTATTTACTTTCTTTATATAAAAAAGAAATAACTTTTTTTTGTAAATTTGAATTATCAACCACGTGGATTAAAATTCAGAAAAAGAAATGTAACCATTTTAAATATTAACTGTGAAACTAGCCTAAACAAGTAACATGTAGTAATACAAAAAAAAAATTGTGAGAAAATATTTTTAATTCAAAAAAGTTGTATTCTTGAGTGCTTTAATAAAAGCGACCAGTATTTCGGTTGATTACATAATCGTTTTAAACCACAAACCAGATTCTAACGCAAACATGGAGACATAATCATACATATTTATGAATTACGAAACAGCCAAAACACTCAAGTCGAGGGTGTGAATTAGTTGAGTCTACTTACGTCACAAAACGTACACGGACTTTAAGAATTTGTAGAAGACGGAATATCGACTAATAAACAGCCTACTGCAGGGTTGTCAAACTTAATTTTTTCAGAGGGCCACAGATTAAATATGGAATGTGTACAAGCCAGCAGTCCTATTCACTAACTCAACTGACAGCTTAAGTCGTTAATCACCGTAAAAATATGGTAAAAATGAACAATTCCAATATGTCAAAATCACTTATTTACCACAGAGCTGAGAGTGAACGTTATTCACCACAGAGCTCTGTCAACAATTTCAGTTGAACTCATAGTTACAGAATATGGGAGCAAGTTGTAACATACTAAATTATTTAGAAAATCATAAACAACTAAGACTTTCTTGCTCGTCTAGGCACGTGCGACTGCTGATATTACTTATAAATATAGCGCGTACATTTTTAAACTTCCGTAGAAACATCCAGTACAGTATAAAATCTCTAAAAGCAATATTTTTGTGATATATTGTGATCGCGGCTGATAACTTTGACATAAATGGTTTGCTTTGCTAATCTATAAAAAAAACAGCGTTTATCTGCCGTCCAGCACGCCTTGTATAGGGTTCAATCAAATGAAACTTTTATTACCATTACAAGTTTTGCTTTAATTGAAGCTATATGCGGTGACAGCTGTGCTACATCGAGCTCAACGTTATTTATTAACAAAATAACGCTGCTGCAGTCATTGTATTGGTTTGCAGATTGAAGGTGTTGCTAAATCTGAGGATCCGGCTTTTAATTACCGCCCTGATCAATCTAAAAAAATAAACTCTTTATGGTTTTGGGTCTGTATTATCGTTAATAATAACTGTAGTATTATATGCATGCATACGTAATGTAATACATTAATAAACAGTACATATAAAATAGGTATTATTTATGGACCAACGATAAAAAATGCCTTCCAAAGCACGGAGGAACTAGAGGTAACGAATTTCGTCATTGGATTGATATCCATATCCAATGACCGGTCATTGTATAATCACAATTTAAACAAGAGAACTACTCCAATAAAAACTATTTAGGGCGTAACTACAGAACGCTGGTTTCTAGGCACTAACCAATTGGTTACCAAAGCAGTGCTATTATTTAATGTTATTATTATTAACAACAAGAACAAAACAGTATAATTTCAACACGTGGCTATATTTTTTCATATGAGAAAACCTTCTTTTTTTAATACCATAAAAAGTACAGACCGATTACTAATACAAAATAGTCTACGAAAAAGTAGCCATAGACTCAAACAAACATAGGTATGTTATTACTCTATGTTCTGTGCTCGTATTTAAGAACTGGTGGCGCTAGTATCTGTACTGCAGCGTTATTTAATTTTGATATCTATAAATTACAGTTATTGAGCTGTATTTGAGCATTCAATGCAAGATAATCGAAATACAAGTCATAGGATTATTTTTAGCAGTAAACATGTGATTAGAATTCAGCACACACCTCATAAATGGTCCTTAAAATGGAAGCTAATCGTCGCCATATCTAAAATAGCCCTTACCATAATGAGTGTTACCAAACAGAATATAAACATATGTTTTCGATTTAAATATTTCCAGACTATTCGATGACTGATTCATGATTATTATAATGAAACACCAATTTTTGTTTGTTCGTCCGTCAGGTACATTATTGAAAAATATTGAACACGTATTTTTTCATCTTTGCGTAATGTCGCATGACGTCACGGTTTTGTACATTTTCTACAAAACTGACGTAGCGAGACCCCACCCATCGATTTTAAGCCTATTTTCTAAGCCAATTATTTTTCTTTTATTTTTTTTTTAATCCAAATATCATCTCTACTATGTACCTACATAATACGGCAACACACACAGAGAGAAAGAGAGATCCGAAATCAAATCTATGAAAGAAGTTATAAAATCAATTCAAAATTTTATACATTTGTTCACGTTGTCTAAAGGTCTTTCTATGTTCTGTGATGTGTATACAGAGGATACTTACGGACATTATAAATATGAAATATAATATCAGTAATATATATTATAATTTGTTCTTTGCATTGAATAGTTTCCGAAACAATTGGATCGATTTTTTAAATTATTTATTAAGTCTACTAACACTTTGATGCACTATAATTACGTCTAGGTTTAAACAGAGTATATTAACTAATTATAAGCAGATATTAACTTACATCAATGCAGTGCTTTAATATAGTATGTTTTTCGCTGATGAAATAGAACATTTCTTTACTAAGCGAGTCTTGGATCTATTTGATTGCTACAGCGGCTGAGAAGTCTGGGTAGACAAGGACATTTAAAAACTTCTTTCATGTACGGTAGCTATAACACACATAATTTAAGCAGGCGAAGTCGCGGGGAAACGTAGTGCTTAATACTGTTTTATTTTGCGTCAGTAAAAGGTGTTTTTTAATGGTAAGAAAATTGTTTTTTTTCTGAAGAAGAGTCAAGAATTGAAGTTCAAAAACACATTACGGAGTTACGATATTGAAAATGTAAATGCTTGCAAAACCGAAACTGAATTGGCTAATATAGGAAACACGGTTTTCTCTAAAATAGTTTGACTTTAAGCCTATATCGTTTAGTTTATTACATCTTTGATAAGTTTAAGATTAATGAAAAGTTTTTTTATTTTGCCGTTTTACTTAATATATATGCAGCTACCACACTTTCTGAATGTTCCCCTGCTCATATACGATTGTAACCCGTTAAAGGGGTAGATTCGGACATTCATTAGCTTTTAGTAAAATTCGATCCACTCATTTATTTTATAAGTAAACGACTTCGGACTTTTAATTAAGGAACAGAAAGAATGCTTTGTTTTAATAAGTGATTGAGTTATTTATCTTTAATTATCAATTTTTTTTTTAATCATGGAGTAAAACGTGCACGAGTGGTCCCAATCTTCCTCTATAAATAAATGATTACTTTTTGATAGAGCTTTGAACAAACACAAAAATGTTACCAGCTTCAATATTATATTGGCCGAACTTTACCACCAACAATATTATGAACAATCTAGGTCCATTACGTGATAATTTACCGTGAATAATCTTTATTTTCACAATTGTTATTTTGTAATTATAATTACTCTTTCATTGAGGGACTTCTCAATGAGACTTAATGAATGTTGTACTAAATTAACATTGTACATCTGCTAAACGGCTTTCGTCCATTCAGCTACACAATTCGATGTTTGTTTGTGTACACACATACCCATCACTCACACAAACACACTTTGGGCACGTGTGCTTAATTCCATTTTAAATCATATAAAAAATAATTTATTTTAACAAAATAAAAGTTATAACATAAAATTTATAATTCCTTCATTTCCCAGTCTTCTAAGTCTAGCCTTTAAGCTAACGTTTTACAATAAATCCATTTATTATCTCCATAACAAATGAACTGTTAACTGTGTACATTTATCACTCCATAAAACTGGAGACGTTTTTCTTATAATTAAACAAACACTTCTTGACTTTGACGTCATTAAATACATGAAAGTCGTAGTAGGTATTCTTCGGTACAAGTGTACAAGTATTATTAAAATTCATGGTCGTACATAATACATGCAATGTAAAGTCAAAATATCATTAACGTCAGCTCTGAATACTCGTTAGTAGATGTTACATTATGAGAAGATCAGAGTTGTAAGTGTAAGTTTTACGCTAACGCGTTCACTAGTGAGCGCGCTAAGAACTTGTAAGCAGATTTGTATTAGTTCCTGGTAGTTACCGCTAGGGGCGCTTTACCGAATTCCATACTAAAATCTTAACGCGCTCACGATCGACAGTGAACGTAAACGTCAGAAAAACTTACACTAAGCACTCTGTGTAGGTTAAGCAACTTTAGCATGGACCAGTCATGGTTGACTAAAAATTTATCTAGCTCCTCCGTTCTTTGGAATGATCTCGGCTGCACGTGCAGTCGTAATAACTCCCAATCAGCGCTGCGGTTCTGGTAAAATCCAAACCCGAATTCAAATTCACTCAGGTGTCGAAATTCACATCAAAAAGCGGCATCCGCCGCATATGTAAGTGAAGTGAGTTTCTAAATGACATTGGAATAAAATGTCTGATATCAACTTTGTTTTGTACTTTTATACAAAATGGAATCAATAGAATTTCTACACTAAATGATGTGAATTTGAACACATGAGTGAATTCGAAATCGAGTCACAATTTTTACAGAATTGCAGGGCAGCACTGGGAACGCGTAGTGAATTATGACCAGGGAGCCAATTTTACTAAATAAATTTTGTTTAAATCGAATCGAAAACGGATTGAACCCGAACGAAACTACAGTTTTTAATGGTTTTTCTATTCTATTAAGTGACATACGATACAATTCCAGCTTAAATAGAACTGGAATTGTATTCGATTCCAGCCCGTCTTAAGCACAACAAACGCCCGGGTGCAAGTAATGCTCTGGGGCCCTGCAGCCCACTTTTTTACACATATTTATATTAATTGCATTGCATCTCCCACACGATGGATAAAGACGGGGCTGTTCAATTCGATTCTATCATAAGGCAGGTCTGTGCCCCAGCAGTGGGAATATTCGTAGCCTGATATTTATGTTTATGATTTAATACATGATTCATATCGCAGCCATACAAAATTACAAAGCAAAAAATGTCATCTGGTTGTGCACAGAAAAGGAAATCTTCTTAAAAATCTAAATCTATAAAATGACTGACTACTACCATTAATTTTGTGCTGCTATTTGATAAAATCAGTTATTCCCTAGCCATTTCAAATGTGGATATTTGCGGTTTACAAGGAATTTTAATTACAAAATTGTTTTATTTTATTTTTGTTACTCTACATATAACCTGAATGGTGAGATTAAGTTTTACGTTAACTCGTTAACTGGTGAGTGCAATAAGAATTTGCATGGAGATTTGTTACTGTTGACAGGTA